CCATTCAGTCACTTAGGTTCAAACAAAACTAACTTAAAGTGGAATAATTACAAAAAACGACCAACAGGATGACTTAAGGCTACTCTGTATGTAAGAACGTATATAGCAAAAGCCTATCATAAAAACAGAGATTAGAGAAGACGGGCTTTTTTAATTTAGCTAAATGAAGGCTGACAATAAGATTGCTGTCTCTTTATATGCTAGAAAAATAAACACTGGGAATGGAATAAGAAGTAAAGGTCAATACTGGCACAAATTGGCACATGGACAAGTGCACATAAGCTTGCTGTGAATACACTTAGCCTGGAAATTAGAAGTTTTATAATCATTACAGAAATCAGGCTCCAGGGCAGCTTTCTAACTGGAATAGCAGAGACAGAAAAGTTAACCTCTTAGGCTTGAGCTTGACAAGTTTCCGAAGAGAATTATATGTGCTTGCCTATGAGAAGGCAGCACTAGACCTGACAATTAAAGAGGTCCCTTCCAGTCCTATGTTCTTACTTCCTTCAAAGTAGTCTTGTCTTTGCCATGGTGATATTTACAAAACAAAGCTACAGAAAATCAATTCAGCGGTTTTTAAGCATTACAAATATTTGAAATCTTCAAGCTTTGAAAAACATGCACTCCATTAGTTGGGGAATGTGTCTCTCTAGTGTGAACTGATATGCTTACAGAAATGTTCTGGTTTCATACATTCTTGAAATGCAATTCTCAAGAAATTGTTGAGCAAATTTGTTTTAAAAATGATTGATTAACCAATCTAAGTGTGCAACACCTAATGAGGTTTACATATCAAAGTGAAGTCCCAGACTTCAGGACTTTTGCCATCAAGAAAGGCTTATTAGCGTTCGGATAGTGTACTTTTCCTATGCACTCTCTTAAATTCAAAACACAGAAGAGATTTTATTCAGACTTAAAGCAACAAACCACCACCACCAACAACAAAAGACTAAACAAAAACAACTGAACACACTTCGATAAATACCAGCCTTAGTCCGAAAGCTTAATGTTTCAAAAAGGAAGGAGTACATGGAAAGACAGCGTTAATGGAAACTGTTCTGGAACTCTAAGTAGGGGATGATATCTAGTGACTGCTATAACACTGAATCTGCACTGTCATTAAACTTAATGGTTGATATTTTTATTGCAACCTGACCCACTATGACATCTCTAAAGAAAATTACATTGTACACTACTACTTCAAGAAGTCAAACTTAGCTAGTCATCTGGGCCATAAAATAGCAGATTACTCCATCAGGCTGGCTAAAGCAACTAGGAATAAAACTAGATTTACCAACCACATTATTTTTATTAGGAAATGTTTCAAAGCAGACATAATCCCTGAAGACCTTAGCCTCATTCCATCCAAAAATACACAACATACCACAGCAGAAAACATGAACTACAGTAAAAGGTACAATTTTTAAATCACTGGAAAAAAAAAAAAAAAAAAAAGTATTGCAATATATCATCCTATCAAAGCAAAATAAATTAGCTGACCATAGAAATAGAAAATAATAAAAACTTCTACACAACTCCTGTATTAACAAATTAAACCTTTTTTATAAGATCTGACGTGTAAATAGGAATTGCTCCACTGAATCCCTGCACATCAAGATTTGGAATGTACCCCATTTGCTTTCTTTGAATTTGCAGGCGTACTAGGTGTACTAACCCACAGCTAGAGGGCAAAACCTCCAGTATGGACAAAAGGTAAAAACAGTATCTTTAACAACAGCATTCTTGAAGAACTCTGGTATGTGAGCCCTACATGCATTTTATTTCGGTTCATGGCCACAGTCCAGACAAAGCACTGCTTCTTCTGCAATTCTTCTAGATGTTAAGAAGTGCTCAAAACAGTAACAAAAACAAAACAAAACAAAAAGCGATCAATTTACTTGGCAATCTTAACACTTCTCAGTAATTCCTTGTACTTAACCGTGTTTTCTAACAGGTATTTGCACATATGTAATATATAGGTCTTTCTAGATCTGCAGTGAAGGAGAAGTAAAGAATTTGATAGCTGGAAAGGTAAGTTTTAAATTTTAAAGACTGCCAAACTAGGTTAGATTTATGGTATGTGTTTTATCGTATAACCAAGCATTCATGTCTTTCAGCGTTAACCTTTTTTTTTTTTTCCTAGGCAATATGATCACCTCAGGCAGTTTGATTTAAAGGCTTTAGCTGATGCAAAAATATATTTAAATTAGCCAGTCATTTGTTCCTTTTTTTTTAAAGACTTAAATACTGTCTATATTTTACAAAGTTGTTTCTATCATGCTAGCTGCATCAAACTCAGAATATTAATCAGATTGTGAAGCTCCACTAATTATGTGCTATATTTAAGTAACTTAGATTTTGTTAAGTGGCATGCAGATATTGTATGCATAATCTAACTCAGTTTTGAGTCATTTCCCTTTTCTTGTCTGATTTTATTTTACACAGGAAATGACAGGGTCATTTGGAAATAAATGCACTGAAAGATCAAAAAGGAAATCTGATTGAGAACACTGTATGATTGCCCTCACTAGAGAAAAAATAAAATTCAATGGGTGTATAATCCATTGCTGTAAGTTTTATCTGGAAAACACATAGCATGGCTTCTCTAAAAGGATATCCAATACAGCAGTAACTATTGCTTTTATTTGTTGCAGCTGAATCTCTGCTAAAGAAGAGGCTGCTGGACTTTTGTTCAGTAGGTGATACCTTCAGCATATGCGAAGCAGAAATTTACTCAGTGAGCTAAAGCAAGCCATTTAAGTTAAAGCAAATAATTTCATTGATTTGTCCAAAAGTCTTTATTTGCAAAATAAGGTAATACTGTGATTAAACTCTTAGAATGCCATGGTTCTTCTTATTTGGGCAAACCTGGCCATTACGTTTTACAGTCTCTCATTCCAAAAGAACAGCTTTCATCAATGAAGCTTATAGAAAATTTTTTAGACAACAGCAACAGTGTGCTTGGGAGTAAGGATCACATCTAGTTGTTGGCCATGGTGTATCTACAGTAGCTTTATCTTTTATTATTTATTTTAAAGACTAATCTATGCAGCAAAACAACAGCCAACCTTTCATCACAGATTTATCATCTACTTTTAGTGCACTGATTTCCCAGACGATCTCCAGCCCCCTTCTGCTCCCTGAGCACATGCACTGCAGGGCATGTGACTCCAGGCATGCTCCTGCCATAGGCATGCACATCAAACCACATCTGCCCCTTTAGCCTGTCAGGGTTTGACCTGTTCATCTAAGGGACTGCAAACACAGAAGGTAATGCTCTCCTTTATGGATATGCATTTCTAAATGTAACAAAGCTGTAAGCTTGGGAACTTGATCTCTGTGCTGGGCTCACCTCTCATCACATTTTACACATCAAGCAAACGCAGAGAATGCCATAAATTTGTATGTATAGTTTCAAAGTGTTTAACTTATTGAAGAACAATATAACACCCTATCAAAATAAACTCTGCACGAATATAAGTTATTGATCTTCTCGGGTATTACACTGTGGTTGGACAAATGCAGTTGGAGTTTCTGCCATGGGACTACAAAACAGATGAATTAAACCAAACTGGCGCATAGGTAAGAAATATCTGTAAGAGAGTTGCAGCTAAAGATTATCATGAAGGTTTTTATGACAGTTTTATTGCAAATTGCACTTGCTCCTTTGATGGATTAACACCAAAGTCATTCACAGGAATACGTTTCTGCCATTCCCTAGTGGAGGTAGATGGTACAGGTGGTACTCTCTTGCATACAAACCATGCAGAGCAGCTGCTTTTTCTTGGCTGTGAAACTGTAGCATTTTATGCTGATCTTAGACATCCAGAAATAGGTTTCAAGAAAACACAAAGATATTTATTTTGAGCTAATCTGCAACTGATATATTAACCAAATTTACACAATAAATTATTTAATTAAAGCCTCATTAAAAATAATTTTACCAATTAGAAAGCTCTAGCCAACCACTGATCTCATTAGCTAATATGAAAACCACAACAGCAGTGTGATGCTGAAGTCCTGCTTGACTTATGTAATTAACTTTGTCATTGATTCCAGCATAGCTGGAATTTTAACCCACCTAACAAACAACCTCAAAATAATCTCCAAATATTTGCATCCATGGCAAGAAAAGTCCTCCTTGCGTAAAACACAGTTATTTAAAAGCAACATGGGAGGAAATTATACCACATCATTTAGACCCAAACCACCAGCTTAATGTGCAAAAGATTTTTTCCAATGCATTAATAACTTTAACTTCCCTGTGTGCTGATAAGCTAAAATACATGCCATAAGAGAAATTCTACTACCGTGCCTGTCAGAGTAACCAGTTGTCTCCTAAACTAGAAATGTAAATTCTTTTCAATGTATTGTAACAGATATCTTCAAAATGCACCTTCAAACAAAAGGAAAGTATATTTGACTAATTTAATCTGGCTGTTTGATTAAAGGCCACCTCCTGAGTCTACACATATTCCTATGTATTTTTTCACATATAAGTTAGAATACAAAGTTTAATAACAGTGAATTAGCTTGACTGTAAGAGTGCCTTCAAAATGCTGGATTTCTAGCTAGCTTGTTTCTCTAAAATCAGTATAATTAACTGTTGGTGACTACAGTGGAAAAAACACTGTGCATACATAAATATCAGCACTGTGGTCAGACTCTTGCTTGGTACACAAACTTTTCTGATTTTGACTGCTGATATTAAAATAGTCAGAGTCATGCATTGCTAATTCAAATGACATGCACCAACTTATAAACACATAAACAAAAGTATTCCTGATTTAACACATTTTAACCAACCAAATTTTTTGAAATCCCAAATTAATTTTGAATTTGAGGATTGAAACATCTAACTTGTATTCTTTAATCAGCCATTTCACTTTAGTAATGAAGTAATGTTGACATAAAATTGCTTTGAGCAATACAAAACATATGTCATAGCGCATTCATTAAATAACTCTACGTAATGAGTTCCATCTATATAAATGACTTACCTTATTACTTATCACCAGTTCTTCTCTAGGACTGTGGAAGAGATGTTCATACAATTTATAGGGTTTAAATAAGCTGGAAAATAAGAGAAAAACACCGCTAGTACAGCTGTAGATCTCTAGAAAGGTAACACTATTAAAAAAATAGCTATAGTGAGAGTTACTCTCCAGATGGGTAATGCTTCGAATGTTAGGGAGAAATGGTTGTTTAACTTCAGCTATGATACACAGAGTATTTAATTTACAGGACGTACTATTAGATGGCTGTAGAAAATCCAGTATGATAATTAAGAATAAAACTGCTTTGTTCTTACGGAATCAAATTCCAAGAAGACTAAGTTCTCCTCTGAAAAAAAGTAATTCCTGAAATGCGTATCACCAGGATACTTATGTCTTTAATATCAGCAGTAGTGGACAAGAAGGAAACAAAGCCAAATGAGCTAGCAGATTTGGGATGGGCTGCTTATTCCAGCGATCAAGTTTGATGTTGGAACACAAAACCAATAAAGAATGGAAGCATTTATTCTCTCAAGGTCATGTTTCAAAATCAGCGCACTATTTCCTTAAAGAAAAACTAGAAAACTAGATTGACACACTGGAGTTTTGTGCATTACACAAAAAGTAACTTAAAGTAGTAAACTTATTTTCCCTTAAAACATATGTGGATTTCCATTTCATGTTTTAAATAATTTTCATTGTTTCCTTTCCTAATGGTAAATGAAATCATATTTGTTTAATCAAAGGCTTGGTTTGTCACAGTTCATCTGTTACAATTACTTTTTCCTCTTAAAATCATGACACAGAACTTCTGGCTTCTGTCATGTCATTCTGACAGGATTTAAAACACAGTTCTGTGATTTCATAGCAAGTTCAGGTCGAAGAATGATTCTAACTTTATCACAGTCCTGTCTGATGTACCCATGAAAGATATGGCAATATTTGCAAGGAACATCTGTAACCAGTTCCTATCCTTTCCCCCCACCACACTATTAGAACCACAAACCAGGACGGTGGTGCCTCTCTGCTCAGTATTTGTAAGACCACGTCTAGAATACCGAAGCCTGCTTTGGGTAGTGTTTGGACTAGATGGCCTCCACATGTCCTTCCCAACATGAATTTCTCTATGGTCTGTGGAAGTAACTGTTAGAACAACGTATGCAATTACCTACTTAAAGCTAAGGACACTGATACTACGTACTGGAAGTCATGCTAATGCTATACTTACACATCTAAGCCTTCCACTGTTTCCGAGCTAGGAGATAAAGAAATTAATCATGTTGCCTTCAAAGCCACCTCTCAAGAGGTGTGCTTCTACATCCTTTGGTCTGTAAGGCAACTGCCAGTACAGAGACAGTACATACGGACGCTGACAGTCCCCTGTCAGAGGATGTGTGCCAACATTTTTAAGCTTATGTTTTTATTTGATTACTTTTAGAGAAGCTTCTTCCTGTTTTGCCAAGTGTCTCTATTGAATAGAGTGCCCGGAATACCCTGGGTAGGTCAGAAGTACACATGAATTTCAGTTTTTACTTGGAATATCAAATATGATGCTTTCTTAGGAACCAAGCAGAGCTCATATACAATATTTTTGAGTTTTCCCATTTTTCTTTTTCCTTTCAGAAGGCCAAAGACAATATCATGACAGGCATGGTACATATTAGAAAGACACAGACTTTAGAGTAAAACTTCTCTTCTGCAGCACTTTAATCATAATGCAAGCAGTTTAAAAAGTTATCACAGAATCCTGGTCAAGAGGCCGATGCACTGGGATGTAGGTGTCTGAAATACAATCTTGGCTATGACAAATAATGAGGAAACCAACAGTGGGAGTCTGTGTCAAGTCCCCACCATTTTAGCTGAACATCCTTCTCCAAATCACCTTCACTTACTCAGCACCACCGGCCACTGCCACAGTACCACTGAGATTCCACGAAATACTGCAGACCAGGGACAATTTGCCCTCATGAAAGTGGTGCTGAAGTGCCAGCTAAAATACAGCAGAGATTCTTCTAGCCTTTGAGAGCAGCTCAGAATTAGAAGAACACAAAGGCAGTACTGCCAGCCTCTCTTACATGACAATAATACATTTTCCAGCATGATTAGTCAAACACACCTGTGACTCTTTCAAATACATTCGTACCCAAATGGCTGCAGACAGTTTTGCACATACGTACAGATGCATTTCCTAGTTTTGTGAGAAGTATTATAGCAGCCGTATTGAACATTTGGCTCTGTAAGTGCCATATAAAAGTTTTATTCTATAGTTACATTTAATTCAGCCAATTACCATTTGTTAAAAACCAAATTTGATTACTCGCATAAGAGATTTGGCTACCATAAAGTGTAAGTTCCCTTCCCCCACACCCAAAGCACATATGTACTGCAAATGAAAATGGCAAATATTTTAGAATCTTAATTACCTATTTACTGCAGTGTCTCACCAAAGAATTCCTGCCATGTTTCAGCAGAAAAATAGGAATTTGTTTATGAACTATGTTTAAACAGACTTCAGAACTTACGTGGAGATGACTCAGACAAATTCATGAAAATACATGTGTCCTCTCACACACACACAGATCTATTTTTGGTAATATTCTAACATGGATTATTTGGAAAAAAAAATATTTTTTGAGCATTGCAGACATACAAGAAATTAGATACATATCTTTCAAACTATATTGAGAGAACCTAACATTTCAAACTTCTTTCTTTTCTTTATTCCAATGCCTTGGAAAGAAGCCAGATTGAGAAAAGCTGAAAATTAGTTCTTTTCCTTAGACCTTCTAAATGTGTTAAGATATTCTTTACAGACCGTGTTCCATGTAGAGATAATTTACAGTATTTCCAAAAATATAAGTCATTACTTTTGGCATTTCTGAATTTATTTTTATTTTTCAAACAGAACTCTGTTTGAACTGTCACCCTTAATCCTGTATCAACGAAAGAAATCTTCCATTTAATGCTCTTTAAATCAAATCATGTAGATTATACAGCATCAGTACTTATTTTAAAACTGATATAGTTTTCTTCCACCATGCATTATATAAAATGCTTGTTGTGAACAATTAAGAGCCTGTGCCAATGTATTTAGTAATTATGTAAAAATAATTTTCCTCATGCAAGTAAGATTTTTCAGAATAAAACCTCTTATGATGTCATATGAAAATATGACGGTGATTAACAATGACATATTTTCCTAACTCCACTGCCTCCTGAAAGAAAATGTCAAGAGCTATGTTGATATGTGTTTGCTGCAGGAGACAGGATAAAAAGACGATAACTGTCACCTTCCACCAAACCTAAAGGTATCATTATAGTTGTTATACAGCTTGTGCCAATGTAGTTGAGCATTTGTCCCCATTTCCATTATGAATCCCATGGGTTTAGAGCTCACCTATAAAAATGTGATCTGAACTAAAACATGTCATACTATTTTGAATAGAAAAAAAAAATAAAGCTATAAGTCTATCATTTAAAATTAAACAAAAAAAAAAAGTGAAGAACAAGAAAAAATGTTGAACTAATACATAAATTTGAGTTGTAATAAAACTCAGGCAGCCTGTTCCTGAGTTCATGAAGTTCGGAATACAACTACATAAAAAGTGTGCTGATTCAGTTCCGATTTAGAAAAAAATATTCATGTGAATGAAATAATGAATTGTATAAAGTGGATACACGTGGCACATTTTAGTGCATGTGCCTATATGTGTACATGTGTATATCCATGACCTTGTAGCTGTACGTACTTCTAGTAAGTTGAGCGGTATGAAAATAGAACTACATGTCTGGCAGCCAGAATACCACTGCTGTACTGAGGCATGATTGTATTCCTGCTGAGATAATACTTCGGTGGTAATAGGATGGAGCATCTAATCTCTTGGATGAAATTCTTGACACTGTGAAGGACTTACTTCATGGACAAGATCTCTTTCAATGGATAGTTCACACAAGAGCTACAGAGATCCTACTTGGAAAAAAACAATTGTTCCAAATAAATATACAAAAGGCACAGACAGGAAAAGAGAAGTAGAAGTTGAATGAGACGTTTGAAATGCCAAGCTTCCTTTTAGTTTAGGGGAGTACTTGGCAGGACATTGGTTTGCATTGACTACAAAAATTTGCGATATAAAGAGATGTTCTCATTTCATATGGGAAGAACCTGAAGTTCTTTTTATTTTCCATGAAACAGAACCAGACCGAACCAACATCATTATCATCATCAACAACAAAACACAGAGCAGGAGAAAGCCAGATCTTATAACTCAACTGTAAGAGAAATCACCTGTGATGGGCTTAAACCCCCATTAAAAATCTATCAGCGCCCTAAACCAGGAGACTGTCAGCCAACCTTGTATTTTTGTCTATTTTCAATAAAAACTTTAATGCATTCAAAAAACACTCTTAAAAAACAACAACAACAAACAAAACAAACAAACAAAAAATCTCTTTGCCACATTAAAATTCTTCTAGGAAAAGAAGAGTCAGAAATTTCCCAACTATTCTACATACAGATCAGTAATGGACTTACTCACTTTTTATGTCCATCTGCCACAAAATCTCTCTCCCTAGCACTACCATTGAGGTCATGAAATGGGCTCAATGGCTGAAGATACAGTATAGTGCATAAACATATATCACAATCACACCTTTTCCATTTTCCATCTTTTCTTGCTTATCCTGGTAATACAAGAACTTAAGGAACCATTCATCCATCAGGTACTGGAAGCAGTGGTGTAAGAGTATAGGTTGCTGTCCTAACAATAGCACTTCAATGAAGACAGGTCTGAATATGTTACTAAGACTTTATATGGAGACGAGTGATTAGCTACTGACACTTCATTTTTTTTCCAAGATACATAACTGAATTACTGCTGTTTATATCTCTTTTTGTGTCTGTTTAAAAGCTGAGACCTATCAAGAAACCTCTTCATGCAGATGCTGAACTTATGCTAACTTACAAATGCAACATTTTTATTACTCATACTTATTTACCATAGCCTTAATTCTGTAAAGTACAGAACTTAAAACCACTTAAGAAGTCCACTACAGCTGACAAGGTCACACAAATACTCAAAGTTACAAATGAGACATAGCATTCTGTTCAACTGAATATAGAATTAGAAAGCTTTAAAAGCAAAACAAGAGTATTCTGTATACACCATTCTCCTCTTTCCTTTAAATCACCCAAACCAAAACCCAGATAGAATCTTTTCAGAATAATCTTATGTCAAGATAAACTTCCCATCTAAATTCTGAATTTTCCAGGCTTTGACATCTGAGGTCAGATCTTTACCACTGCTTGATCTTTACCACTCTTTTCTTTTTACTTTTTCAAGTTTGGCATATGTAGCATGTTGCCATAGTAAGTACATTCCCAATTAAATAATTTTAACTTATTTTATCAGCAGATTTCCTACCACATTAATTTATTTGAATAAGACATCATGTATCCTAGGGTAGTACCTGATATTCAAGTAATCAATGATTGCTTTGGCTTGCTCAATGCTGAAAACATCCATGTCACCACTTCTTTCTGAATCAGTTTCTCCTATTCCAGCCATTGCTTTTCCAAGTTCCTTTATGTTATCTTCTAAGGTCATATGTTTGTCTGCAATTAATTCCAAAGAACAAAAAGTAAATATAAACATGATAGAGGTGGGTTCCCCTCCCTCCCCCCCCCCCCTTTTTTTTAAGGCATTTTAATTATAAGACTTCTAGAAGCTTAAGCAGTTATATTATGAGTCACATGGAAACTTAAAAAGCAACAGTGACCAAACACTTTTGTCTGTGGCCATTATTCTTATCAATAAAACGTGCATTAAAATTCCATCATAAAATCACTGATGAGCCCTAGTAATGCAATGACCACAATAATGGATGTTTAAGACACTACAGGTTGGTCTTTTATGTATGCAGAGATAACCACAGGCAGAATATCACGTAAATGCTAGATGCATAGTATGATTGTCCTTAAAATGAATTTACTATTGCTTAAGTATTGTAAATAGACTGTTCTTCTGATCATGTCCCTTGCAATATAAATCAGAAATATACAAACAGATATTAAAAATGGCAAGCAATTTTAAAGTACTTAGTCATAATTGATTAAACTTGAATATGTTTAATATTCTGCTTGCATAATTGTTTGCACCCCCAAAATAAATGACTTCACAGTTTTAACTTGGAAAGCAATACCAAATGCCAAAACAGTTTTGAACTAAAATTTAAATTCCTTTTGTATACTGTCTTGACAAAAATCTGAAAATATATCAATGCTTGCTAAACCTTGCATTTAAAAAGAAAGGATCCATCTTTCTGATTTGTGTACACTGTGTGCTATCACTAAAACCACGGTGGAGTTTAAAAAAAAAGTTACAAACACAATTTGCTTGTTCTTTTTAAGTCTAAAAATCTACAGTAGAAAATGGGGAAATATCCACCAGTGGTGAAATAGATTTATTTTCCTTATTGCTTGAATTCTCTACTGATCTGCTTCTTGGTTCTTTGTACGGAAAACAAATTTAAAAACTTCCAAGATTTTGGTCTTTACAGTTTTGCCCTTTAGCTGTACAGGGATCAAAACCCAGAAAATTTCACCTCAGTTTTCAGTAACAGAGGCAGCACAATATAAATAACTATAATGGAAAAAAATAAAGAAATACAGAGAACATGGGGGGAAATAGAAGAGAAGCCATGGGAAATGAGAAATATCACATTTAGTGGGGAAGTTAACAAGGTCATGAGAAGTGACAATATTCAGGCCCAGGTCCTCTCTCCAGCTAGTCCAAATTTTCTCTTTCCTTTGTACAACTGAGTTTCAGGCCCAGCTGCCTGTCTCAGGATGGCTCTCACACTATGTCTGTGAGGTAGGGAGCACTTTATGTTCAAAGTGTAGAATGTAGACCAAATCACACAAGTAGTTTACCCTGGGTCCTCAGCTGGTTTCAGTCCCTACCCTGTTTCACTTCCTCTGCAAGGAATATTCGTACAGGCAACAAAGATCCCTTGGCTCTCAAACTGTTTCTCCTCACCCACCCAATCAAGAAAAGCCTTGAGTTTCTAAATCTCTGTTTTCCTCTCTCTTTTACCAGCCTTAAATGAATTTCCACTACCCTCGTTGTCTAAATCCATTATTTCCGTTCCATGCTATTGTTGCTATTATGATCAAATCTGCTTGCTTCTGCAGGCTGCTTGGGTACATTGTAGGGAAGGAAAAGGAAATGGTCATTAATATAGAAGACATTAGCATTTTATTGTTAGTTGAAATGTTTGGTCTTGGAACTTGCACCAGCTGAGAACAGTAACTATAAGGAAATTCATCTCAACCCTGGGCTAGAGCATAATTTATAAAATGGATTATTTGGGGAACTTTGCCGTGAAAAAAAAAATGTAAGAAGTCTCTTGCATTTACAAACTGCATTTTCCTTCCCTGGAAGCCATGTGTCTTAGCCAAATATGAATGAATTTTCAGAGGACAGCAAAAAGCAAATTCACAACCCTTGTTTGCCAAACCTTAAGTCTTTACTTCAAAGCACAGGGGTATTAGAGCAGTTAAAAAAAAAAAAAAAAAAAAGCTCAAAATAATGCATTTATTTCTTTGACAGCCTCTGTCTTGAAGCCCATTGAACTGTTGTACTGGAAATTTTATATGTTAAAATTAATCTGAGGCAGACACTGCCATGGAAAATTGTAGCTTAAAGAGTTAAAGCTTTGCCAGACTTTATGCAACTAAGATCACATTCCTGAAAAATGTCAGTCAGCTTTAATAATCAGTTGTGCTACCAGCCTGTCTAGTACACATGCATTACAGTCTCATAAAACTAATTTGTGTCATGTTTCCATTCTTCTCCATTGTTATATTAATATAGTTAGCATATGTTAAGATACTTTCTCATTGGAGACAGGAAGGACAACTGGAATTCCAATGACCATAAAGCACGTACATATTCTGTCAAGATTCCAAGTCAGAAAGGACCTTGATTTAAACTACAATGAAAGAGTATAATAATTATTATGAATTTGATTTTAAGTATTCATCTTTACTTTGAATAGAACCACTGTGTCCTTTCACTTTTCCTCTGGGATAGACTCTTCTCAACATAATCACCTTCAAAGTGAATGTAAAGTAAGAATTGTTATCTCTGAAAAGAGGGTTTTGAGAGGATACAGCTACAATTTTTTTTTTTTTTGGCTATTTTGTTCCCGCCAGACCCAAGATGCATGCTTTTTAGCAAATTTTCTCATAGCCACCAGAGCTGAAGTCCTTTCATTGTTATTTTTCAACTTTGGCAGCGATGCCGGTTTACTTCCCTCATCAGTCTTTAATTAACCAATACACTTTGTGCCCAAAATGCAGAATTTGCCACAGCAAAAGCCCCCTGAGAGCTAACCTCCAAGGACAAAATAAATGTAATTCTCCTGGTATAATTCTACAGGATGTACCAAATATCTCAAATATCAGAGAAATGTGCCCAAGGCTATGGTGACTCAGTCACTGAGAGAGCTGAAACCAGAATTTAGATGTTCCTTGCTCTCGCTCTACTGTAATGATTATTTATTTTACCATACCAATGATGAGGTCTTTTCAGGACCTGGTCCTTTTGTAGCATATACTGTATAAAGAAAGAATGAGGGATATTCTGCTAAATAGACTACAGTTCTCTCTAATCAAACATCTTTCAGGGAGAATTATTATCAGGCACAAGGTATAGCATGACAACATTCAAGAGGAAAATAAATTATTTTACAATGACTTACAATTAAAAACCGCTTTATTAAAATGACTGGAAAGCATTCTTGCCTTCCACTTCAGATATTTTTATTTTATCATTTTTAATTATACTTACCACGGAGGTTCTCCAACAGAAAGTTTAATAGATCCATGAATCCTGACAGCTGCACAAGACTGAAGTTCTTTTCTTTAGCCCACCAAAATCCAGCAGTATAATAATCTAACAAAATAGCTTCCTTCAAAGATGTCTTTAATTGTTTAAAATTCAGAAATTCTTCCAGCTTTCTGAAAGAAAAAGCAGAATAAAATAGTGAAATTTTAAAAATAGAGGTTTCAAAGTTTAATTTAGTGATTGTACATGTATTTGTATTTTACGCATATACATGTATGGATTTTCCAGAAACTTAGCTACATCAGTTTCTAGATATGAACACTGGTGGTTAGAGGAAAAAATCAAATGAGGAAAGTAAGCAAGCACCTACAGGTTTCAACAGGCACTAATTAAATGTTAAGATATAATTAATGAAGTAAAGAGATTTACAAGAATCAAAGAGAAATGCAGGCAAAATTCCCAAAGAAATTCCCAGTGTTTGTTCAGGAAGGGGTTTATTGGATGAAATGGGACAAGTCTCTCTATATTTTTTGATATGTTTACAATATTAAAAAAGATCTTGCTTTCCATTAGTGATTATTTTTCACATAGACTCTGAAGAAAAATTGCATCTGAAAAATTAGGTAAACAATATAAAATTACTAAAAACATCTAACATATTTAGAAATTTACATTCCACTTTCATAATGGTAAGAACATTTAGGAAGAATCTCATCTTATTTTTCTGGCACACTGGAAAATTTTCCACTTATTTTAACTTGAAGAAGTAATAATTATAGAAACATACATTTCCTTCCAGGAGACTATGATGCTACTGACATATTTACATCTACTCTATCCAAACATGGAATTAATTATGTCTTTTATAATAATTGTATGCATTTTTCCACATGAAGAGTTTATAGGGGATCAGGGCTAGGACTTCAGTTTGCAGTTCTGGTGTAACTTAACCATGTCTCAGGTAGTTAAGTTTTACATCAAAGCAATCTTTGGTTTCTTAGCTATACCTGACTACACAGGTGCCAGCTGTGATCACAGTTTTTCCTCCCCTGCAAGAGTGAAGTCTCCCCCCCCGCCCCGTTTCTCATTCCTTCCTAATAATAGCATTAATATCAGACCTACTCAGAGGCAACTGTTAGTTTTTCAGGGTTTTCATCAAGCCAGTTGAGATACACTGCCAAGTAAGATGAATTTTTTGGTTTTTATTTTTTTTAATTAAAGCCTCAATAGCTAACAAAGTAAAGCATATAATCCAATCAGTTTTGTTTAAAACATGTACTCCTTTGTTCTGCATGACAAATTTGTACGGCTGTACACATGCAAGGCAGTTAAAAACACTTAACTATGTACTGAAATAGAAGTGGAATGTGGCCAGCTGAACTTTCCAAGGTTTGAAACAGTCCATATCCTCTCTTTCTGAAGCTTCTGCCAACTCTGTGTTTTCATAATCAGAGCTTCTCAGGGATTTAGATTTTCTGTGATGCTACTAACAATGCCAGAACTAATTTTTTCAATATTCTGCAAGACTTCTAATTGACAACAGTATCTATAAATGATCAGGAAATTATGGGTGATTTAGATTTCTTAGTTACATCGATTGCTATTTCTTCCATTATGGGATGTGCGCAAGTCCTAAGGAAATGGACAGTAGTACAGAACTCCAATATATATGTGAATGCAAGACATCAAAATTTTCATACTGAACCAGATCATCTATTCTGATTTTCCATCCTTAGCTGTGGCCTTCAAAATGCTCTTGTGTAGAGAAATGATGCTCTATTGTACACTAACAAAATTTCAGTGCTGGTGCTAAACTGCTTAGAGTATATAAAATACCCTGCATCTATCCCCTTCAGTCAGATGAAGTATGTACTTTATGATTAACTTGTGCGTGCGTATGTGTGTGTATGTATATATATATATATATACATACACACACATATATATAAATACATGTGACCAGCTGAGACTAAGAAAAAACTATGACCTTTCAATGCTTTCCTTTTTAATTTTAGCAAGAAATTTTCACAATAAATTGCATCATCGAGTACATTTTAGTCTCCTTTGCGTTGTACGCTTCAGTCTTCTCTGAAGAAAGGGGCTTATCACTCAAGAGAAAATAATAAATGAAAAAATATAAATACTATTATTTAAAGGGTAACAAATATTTTTTTTTCAGTTTTCATTAAATAAAAAATTTAAAAAGGAAAAATAAATTCCATCAGGTAAGGAAGTTTTTTTTTCCTCAAAACAGAGAGAAATGAGAGGAAGAGAATATTTCAAGAATAATATTTTAATCTCTCAAAAACTCTATGTATTCAGAAAGACAGGGTTAGTTCTCTTGTTGTTGTTTTTTTTTTTTTTTTTTTTACTTCTTCTCTCTCCCCAAAACAGTTAGGACTGTTCTAACCAGCTCTTTGGCTTTCAATTCTTTAAGAATCTACCAGTGGAGAAAAGTGTTCCTAAATTATTTGGGCACTTCTGAAAATCCCATTCTAAAAATATAAGTCTAGAGTTTCAGGTTGAACTCCTGGCCCCCTAAATTCATCTCCTATTAAGCAATAATAATGAGAGAGGGTGCTGCTAAAGGGAAGACAACATGGGCTTACTTCAGAAGTCTTTGGCTGCCTCCTATTTCCCCAGTGCACCATAATAGCTATCTACTTTTTAAGCTTTCCATCCCTCTCTGAACTGTTAAAACCCTTCTGATTTTACAGTAACTCATGGATCTGTAAAGAGTCCTAAATGTTTTAGCAAAAGAGTTACCAAGTGAGACTTATGAAAAGGCTCAGCATTGGCCTGTGCTTATTTACATCTTAGTATTTTATTTACAGAATATTTAGTAAGACTGCAAACCCAGAAACCCCATCATTGTGAAATATTTACCAGGGGAGAGACGGAAGGAGTTGAAGAAAAATCAAAAGATATGGGCAACACACTAAAATAAAGCAGATACGAGATCAATGGCTTTCTTCATAACTTTCATGAAACATTAATTGTTCAATTAAATAATTTATGATTTAAAGTCTAATGTGGTAACTACCCCCCCCCCCCCCAAAAAAAAAAAAATCAAATTGTCTATAAACTTAATTTCATGATAATATTGGTTCTAGCATTGTTATCACTGCTACTCACTTTTGAACTCCTTCTACATTTTGTTCTGACAAAGCAGTAATTTGGGAAAGAGAAAGAAATGTCTGATTAATAATCTTCTGTCCACCTACTGCATCCTGATCCTGGTCTTCTGCCTACACACATAGAGACATATGAATATAATTTTTAAAAGTTGATTCAATTATGGCAGTAACTTATATAAATAACATTTTGATTTTGAGGAAGTAGGCAAGAGATTAATTCAACAAATGCCAAAATGTAACACAGCTATAATTATAAGGCATCAGCACAATACCTTAACACATTTTCACTAGGCAGATACATGGAAAATAGTATTTCTATCTTAAATTCACATGGGAACATAGTGACATATTGTGTGCAGCATAAGATTAAATCAAGTTGTAAGTAAAAACAATAGAAATATAAAAGTGCAAGGAATCCATGAATCTAGATTTAACTAACATGATACCAGATTGCACAATAACTAAATTTTTAAATCAGTTTCTGCTTAGGATATTATGAGCACACATACACACTACGACACTATTTGATCTCCACCCTGCCCTTTGGGAATTTACTGTCCACACTTACTCTGCCTTAACCCAAGAAAGCTCAACATATTTGCTGCAACACAAAGGTACATATAAAAGAATCCAACACTACTGTTTCAGGGAAGGTCTGTGTATTTGCAATAATACACAAAAGGCAGTTCCTTTCAGGAAATACAATGGTGTACATGTTATGGGGGAATAACAAACTGAGCTTGAAAAGCTATGCAATCATCTTACAAAAAGTAAGAACATTTGATGATACTTTATTTAGTGTGTCCATTAAGAAAAGCCTATGAAATATACGTAACACTGGAAAAAATAACTGGTTTACTTTAGAGTATTTAGGCAATGAATTGAGGTGTCAAAGCACATTATAAAATCATTATCTGTAAAGTTATTCAAAATTACATTAGACATCTATCTATTGGACAATCTCTGCTCTGTTAAGAGGTGTCGCTGATAATGGTTATCAGTAGTTAGTTCAGATGAGCCAATTATGTTCAGACACAATCCCTGCAAAGGTCAAAACTATGTATAGCATCATTTTATCAATTTTAACTGAGCCATGCTGTGATCTGCGTATTATACAAAAGGGAAACTACCCAAAAGCATTTTACAAAGTTTTAAAAAGGAACTGATATGTAAAATAAATTTTCACCAAATCCTTGCACCCAAGCTGGGCTGCTAAAGTTTACATAGGTGGACAGCTACGCAAATAAAAATCTGTCTGGACCACTAAGCTCAAAGAATAGCGGGTAAGGGTTTGTACCCTACCTGAAGGTTGGTTAGAAATCTGAGTAAAACCCAACACTCATATTGAGTACATCTTTACATTCATGAGGTTTTACAGAGGCACAACTAGAAGTACGTAGAATAGCATTTCTAGCTCAGCTTGAAAAAGGAGGAAGATTTCCTAACATGGATGAATTTAGACTGAACAGCATTGTTCTGGGCTAATTAATCATCAACTAAATCTAGCACTGGTCAAGGAGAGCCCCCAAATAAAGCTACACTACTCCCCCTGCTGCTGCCAAACTGCAAAATATACTTAAAACTCTGGGACAAGCTGAATTGCATCGAAGACTGATGAAACACAAATAAGAGCAACGAACATCACATTTAGTGGACAGACCAGATTTTCTCTCTAATTAAGTGCCAGAGTACCTTCACACATGCACTTTAGTATTAAAAATTATTGTTCTCAACTGCAAAGAAGTTAGCCTTAGATATACTGTCTTACCAGAACAACAGGAATGAAGCACTTGAAGGCTTTCTTCAGAGAGTTAGGACCATGTCATTAGTCTGCTTTTGGTTGCATTAGCAATACTTCATGCAGCATAAAAAGCAATACCCCTACAGTCAGTAATATTGATATAATTGAAGCTGCATGCCCCAGCTAGGAAAACATGAATGAGTAGCTCAACAAAGGAACATTATACAATTAGTGAAAGACAGTCTTGAATAATTAGGAAAAATATGAATGCTTTCCCACAGTGACCAGCAGTATTACAAATACATCAAAAAATTGATTTTTTAGAAGTAGTGAGAGCTGAACTCATACTATCAGTTACTCTTTAACTGATATTGATGCTTTGGAAGTTGAATGAATATCAGCTCATCCCTTTTTCTCACAATATCCAATACATGGGATACTTTATTCTGGCTTTTTGCACCATTATATAAATGGCATATTACTGGTCATTTGATAACACCTTACTGACCACGATGTTAACATTTCCCAAGAATCACCATGATGGACTTTATCAGTAGCAGATAGTACCACGCAAGAGTACAGGTGCACCAAAAGCCTTTTTTTCCCCCCCCTCCCGCTTCTTACATCTTGTGCTCTATGGAACAAGTTAGTAGGCAAAAAGTTGAAAAATCTGAAAAAAAATACCTGAATTTCCAGAATCTATCCAAACTAATTCCTCACCACTTCTTGAAAGGTATCAGGCCACATTCATCATGTCAGAAAAAGCTTGACCAATGAAGTAATTACCTCCTGCCTACAGTATGTAGCTGCCTTACTACAGCATGAAGCTTCCTCACCTACCCGGTATTGACAGGCCCAGCACACCTAGCATGCTGATGCTAAGGCTCATCTCATTCTCTGAATTACAAATAGCAAGAAGGACCTCTAGGAAAAATTGGTGAAGTCTTAGTATATAGTGTTGTATTATAACAATATACAAGCTATGTAAGATAAAAATTTATTTAAAAATAACTCCAGGTGCTTTGCACTCAGTCTACTATAATCTCTTTCAACACATTAAAAGATCCAGTGGAATTAGAAACACACTCTTTAACCAACTAAAGTTTGAAGTTTAAACTTACAAGACACTCAAGCTATTGCAATTCAGTATTGAAGATAAAGCTTCACAATCTGCACATCAAAATCCGACAGTTTACATGGCAAGGTGAAAGCCTACTTTAGAGCAGCATTTCATCACCTCCTGTCTGTAACTTTATTCCCAGCAGCAAGTTCATCCTCTGCCCAAGCATTTTTTTTAATTAATTTTTTTTTTTTTTACTGTTTTAATAAGGATAGACTTGTGGCACTGCTGTCCACAATAAGTGCAGGTATTAGATAACAAGGAATACAGTTCAAAATGACTGATGAGTAACTATGGGAGAGAAAGCACGTAATCTAGAACATTAATTTTTAAAATTATAAATGATTCTGTAATTTAAAAGGTACTTTAAGTCCACGAGGCCCCTACATGATCCCACATTAGTGGAAAACTTCTGTTTGGGCAGAGCCCCACTGAAAGTTTATCATTCCTTTGGTAAAATACTCTTTTGTCTTTCGATTGCAGTCTTTAACCACCACTGAAAAATCAAAGGGAAGTTGTTTTTTGCATGTTCACTGCTGTCAGAGAATTTATCTTTCCTCTTACTGTTAACAACTGTAACTGACAGAGGTAATCCAAATTGATTTAATTCTGGTAATACTATCCTCATGTGCAGTGGGGGGAAAAAAAAAAAAAAAAAAAAACAACCCAGAAAAAAAAAACACTCTACCAACATACACTGTAAAGCAATAGACTTAACCTATTTAAAAATAGACTACTACAAGGGAATTATTTGTTCCTTTATGTTTTATTTTCCTTCAAATAATTCTTAGCTGTTCTGAACGCATAATATTTTTCTGGCTGTTCTGTATGTCACTCCAAATGCTTTGGGCACCCCTTGTCAACAGCATCCAATCAAAATACCAAATCAGATATTCGACAACAAAAGAACAAGATCCTTGAATCTCTCAGCCAGTGTTTACAAATCACTGTGAAACAAAAAATAATAACAGAAGAGTGATAAATAGTAAGCTGCAGAAAGTTTCGCATTTGGGGTGGGGAAGAACTATAAAACAAAACAAAGCAAACAAAAAATGATTAGAAAAGACGCCCCACTATCTCCAGTTTTAGCGAGGGACTTTCCAGAGTGACAAAACCTTGAAACACAAAAATGGAAATTAGCACCGCTGCTTCTGAAAGGAAATAATCTTGTCCTTTTGGTTGAGGCCTCTGCTCTTGCTGAAGATGCCACTTATTTGCACTTGCTTGAAAATGCAACAGCATGCTTTTGCAAAATCATGATTTTCAAAAGTATATTCACAAAGGAATGGGTTGCCAGCTCTCTCAAATTATAGCAAATACCTGAAGCGTAAGGAACCTGAGAACCTCCTCACTCCATCAGGGAAATGAGACTGGACTAAACTCTGCTGCCACAGCTAGATACTTTCCAGTACTGAACTAGTTCATTTAAAGCTGGCTCAGCTACCTCGCTCTGAGCAATACTGCTGACAGCAGTACAGATGTATCCTGAAACAGTGTCGCATATCAGTTACAACTTTAATCAAAATGGGAATGAAAAAAAATAGCAACACAGGCTGTTATTTGTATTATTATATGCATTTTGTTATCAAGCTGTCAAATACTTCAGCCGAAGCAGAAAATCTTGAAGCTGTCTACCTAAATAGTTAAGGCAGAAACGGGGAAAAAAAAAAAAAAAAGCCCCACTTGTCTGCTCCCACAATAGGAAGTTAAAATCAATAGTTGTTATTTTTAGTCACAGTATTTCTTTTGTTGTTAAACACATAAGGAAATACACAAGAATAGCACACTAATTTCAATTACATTCAAAAGCGAAACATGCAGATATGCCAAATGAGAAAAATAAAACCTTTATGTGAGGAAAGCATTCAGAGGACCATTATGAACAACAGAAGCTGATGGTATCCTCTTAATAACAAAATCTATTAAAAAAAATACACACAATCCAAGCGTCAAGACATATGGGCGACCAAATGTACCAAATGGCTTTAGACTTTACTCACATTTTCGCTGCTGCAGACTACTTAATAGAAAAAAAAAAAAAAAGAAAAGGAAAGAAAAAAATGTTTAAAAATAAAGCAGCAACAAGACTTGCTAAGAACAGGATTCAGGTTTTGTGACATTCTTTCTGCTAAAAGTAATTACAAGTCTGAGCCATTAAAAAAATATTTTAATTCAAGAGGAATTTTCTCAATAAAACAAAAATAGTGGCAGAATACCATGTTCTCTGTGGCTTATATATTGAACATGCCAGCCTCAGCCAAAACTGGAGACTATACAATAAAAATATATATTAAAAAAAAAAATATTAAAAAAGCAGAATTCCACAGGGTTTGCAATAAAATTAAATCATAAGGGATAGTAGGAATTATCACTAAGGTAAGCCATCATGTATAAAACAAACAATATATAGGAAACAGAAAACACATGAAAAAAAATCTATAAAGAATCCTTTTATAAAGCCATGAAGTAATAAAGACAAAAATTTCAGTGCTACATTTCATATAGATGTACAATATATTCTGACAGCCTGTCCTTTCCCATGCAGCACACCTTGCGTCCTTTCACTAAGATCTGACTGACTGCATTACCCCCTTGTTACGCTCTTCCCAACAACCGTAATATTTACCAATAATAACACTAGTAAGAAGTATACTGTGAAAAATGCTTATATATATATATATATATATATCATAAAGCATTAAAATATGTATTAATACATTTTACATAGAAGAGGATTTATTTAAGTAAACCTATTTTTCGTACCAGTTATTGTTATGGTAGTTTTTTGCCAACAGACGCAAACCTACAGTGGCTGAAAGCAATTAATCACTTCAGCAACAGCCACAGTAACTTCTCTGCCATCTGAGACAACAAAGAAGTTCCACCTCAAGAAAATGACCTCGAGGTTACTACAGCCTTATAGACAGACTCGAGAGAGAAATTTTGAGCTGAAGCAACACCTCCTATGTTCGTGGGAGGAATAGCTTGTGTTCTCAGACTCCTGATACCAGTGAGGTACCTGTGTCAGAAATCACACCTCCACCAACGAAGTCAAAAACCACAATAAATAATAATAATGCAGACAAAGATATGAAAAGGAGCAAATATTGAGGAGAATGATGTGGATTTGGATCTGTGGTAGCACTTTGGCTACATAGGGAAACAAAGGGTGAGGAATACAACTTACGATGTTGCTGGAAGCAAGACGGGGGGGAAACCATGGCCCTTTGCACTAACAGCCAAAAATTCAGGTATCTCTAACATCATGAAAAAGCCAAGTGGGCAACTACAGGGATGCATTGTTGGTATGAAAATACATCCTTTTAACAATTATAAACCCCAACAGAAACTGCAGAAGAAGAGGGGGGAGCCACCGCTGAGCTAGGCCAGGATGAGGACGGGGAATGGCTGGTGGTGGCTTTCCCCAGGAAGGATGGGCCTGTGGATTTCTGAAGCCCTCCACAAGTTTTGGAAGCCCTCTGTGGGTTTTCAAAGCCCTGTGTGGGTTTTTGACAGGGAAGCTGCTCCACTGAGCCCATGGCTTTCTCTTCCCTACACGCTCTTTCGTGAAGAGGTCACACAGGAATAAACCTTCACGCTGCGTTCCTTTGACCCTCAGAAAGGATTTTTAACACCCACCCTTTCTTTTTAAGCGTTCAGAAGCTTAATAAAGGCTTTAAAAATAAAATTCAATTAAAAGAGCCAAGAACAGAGAAGGAAACGAGAACGAGGTGAGGCGAGGCGAGGGGGGACCGCTAGGGAAAGGGCGGGCGCTGCCCCGCCTCAGCGCCTCGCACCCTGCCCGGCAGGCTGAGGGAAGGCGACGGGAAAGGTCCGGGGCGGCGGGGTGCTACCTGCCCGGGCGGGCTGCCTGCCTCCGCCGCCTCCGCCTCCGCCATGGTGCCCGGGATCGGCGTCGCCGTCGCCCAGGGAACGGGGCGGGCCCCGAAGCTCCTCCCGCGCGGCCCCAGCGCCTGCTCTCGCCCTGCCGGGCGCCATCTTAGGGCCCGCCGCGGGGCGCGGGCGTTGTTCTGAATGAGTCCTGTGGGCAGCACCGTGCGGTTGTCCCAGCAGCTGCCCTAACATCGCATCAGCCTCTGGAGACGCCACGTTCAAACTAAACACCTCACTCAGAACGCCGCTACGCGGTACTGTAGGTCAGGTGGCAGCTGGTGTAAAGCAGCAGGCCTCTGCTGGACCGATGCAGGCACGCAGATTTACTCTAGCTAAGGATCTGGACTTATTTCAGAATAATTTACAAACTATAGTAAGTGGGAAATGATTTAGGGACTGAACTATTTTTATTTTTTTTTCATTAGGATTTACAGAGGAAAAATGTTCAGCATACATAAATTTTCCTCATTTCTCCTCTTTGTCCTATTTTCCTTTTTTAAACAAGGAGGACTAAAAAGCTAGGCTGAAGCATTTTCTCTGTTGGTTTGCCGTGACATACAGACTCATAGCAGCAACAATTCAGAGTAACGGCACTTACCTGCAAGATCAAATAAAACACAAGCATTTGGTGGGTGAACAGTAACAAGAACAAAGAAAAAGCAAACTTACTTCGCAAAGTTTATTGATGTGCTGAGGGAGCTGCTATGACAAAACAATTTCTTTGCACTGCCCCGCATAAAGAAAGGACCTCATGGGATTTCTGCAGCTGTTTCAAAGTCTGCTACTGTTTCTGAGCAGTTTGCCACTTTCTGAAGGTTGTCATCATTGGTTTCTCACACCCTGTAAAACACCAAGCCCAGTACTTGTATCATGAGAGACTAGAACCTGCCCATTCATTACCCACTGTGACTCTGATGCAGTTTGAGATTCAACATGTACGCAACTCTTCCTTCTCAAACAGCCTGACCTGCACTGACACACGTACACCAATCACGCTTCCAAAAGGAGTCAGAAATCTGTTTGAATGCAGTTCAGAGAGCTGTATCCTGCAGTGTGTTCTAGAATTATTCATGGTATTTTAAAGAATTGCTTAGCTCTGTGCAGAGCCCACACTGTGAATTCCTACAATTTGTGCCGTGCTCTGTAGCTGACAGCAGTACAGCTGCAGTTACTTCCCTTTTTACTGTGTATATAAATCTAACCAAATAAGAACATTATTCAGAGCTGCAAGCACTGCATGCAGTAAGGTGTAAAAACTGGGGAATTAAATGTGATGTTTGGATGCAATATAACACTGTATACATTCATTCTGATAATCTAGTCAGTAACAGGTAGATTTTGGACATAACCCAGCATTCCTCTGGTACTGAAAATACTTACTGACTTCCATAAACATTTTCCATGTAAAAGACATGAAGGCTCAATGCCTTCAAGAGGAACCCACTCCATTTCTCTTATTTAGTATTAAAAGACCCAGCCCTGGACTGTATCCTTGCTTATGCAAAACATGAACTGAGTAAGCTGATTGAAGCTGAGAACTGATTTGAAACTCACCCCATTATTTCCAGCAGTGAGCTACTAAACTTCCTACTTTAAAATTTAAATATTTAGATAGCATCACAAATGTTAGATATTGAAAATATATATGGGGAAAAATAAAAATAAAAGACACTAACAAAAAAGATTCAACAGCAGCAGGTTTAATAACCATTCCTTCTAATTTCTGTTGGATCCTTCATGTTTACATAACCCACATTTGTATATACATGTGAGTATTTAAGAAGGCTCATTTTCATTTCCTTCAAAAGCATGACTTGTAAGTACAACAGAAGTAGTGGTCTTAAAAGTCTGGTTTAGTCCTTTCCTACCATGGGCAACCATGGGTGACTTTGATTGCTAATGGTCACAGACACTCCAGGTCAGACAAGAAAATCTCCTTCTCTGTGTAGCTGTGTTAGATGAAAAGGTCTGTCTCTGAGAATGTTGCAGCATGTATAATTTAGACAGTCCATATTTGAGAGTCTGGTCTTACAAAGCATTACAAAATAAGTGCTCTTCTATAGTGATCTGAAGAGGAACCAGAGTTCAAGTTTCTGAGATTGCTTTGCCAAGGCTAGTATCACTTAGCACAGAGGGTATGTTTTCCTCCTCTTACTTTTGTTTTTGGTTAATCCTTTTCAGCTCACAGTGCCTGGACAGCCTCTATCTCGTTGTAGCTAACTATGTGGCCCACTTACACTCACCCTGTCTGGGGCTTGATAAAGATCTGTTTGTTCTTCCCAATTTTCATCAGGTCACAGCTAATGATGCTGTGAAGCATGATGTCTTCCTAGAAATACTTTCTTCCTTACTTTATCACTTCTTTTGAAGATGGAGGAGACTTACATGCTTCACGAAGTCTGTGACAGAAGGGGAAAGATCACAACTGCACACAGCTGCAGGGACTTGTCAGTGGTAGGCCACCTGCGATTGGGGAAAAAACAAACAAACAAATATAAAAATTAAAAAACAGCAACTGCAAGAGAGCTCTCCAAAATATTCCACCAAGTCCCCCAAAGTTCTCAAAGTTCTCATTAACCAAGGTGATTTTTTTTTATTTTTTTTTTTTTTTACTTCTTGGCAGAAGTCCTTGGATTTCAGGAAAATATGTAGTTTAAGCAGAATTCAGGAATGAATGTTCAGTAGCTTTATTTTAAAATGCAAAGTTCTTGTAAACTCCCAAGCCTATTCACATGTCCTTCTATTGATAGAGATCTTATGAAAACGTTCAGTTGCAAACGTGTTTCGATTCACCTTTAGTTAAGCATCACCAAGCATGGTAACTATATGTAGGCAAATTCGGGTTGAAAAGCAAATTGAAATTCCTATTGGAGCTTTGCTTGATACAACAACACCAGATGGACATATAGTTCCCCTTGCTGCCAACCCTCATGACAACAAATTGCTTGATTTCTTGCCCTGTGAGACAAAGATCAAAAAAACATGGACAAGCATGAAGATCATGCACACAGTAGTTGGGTTTGACTCCCTTAGTAACAAATGGATAATTTGTGAAAGCAACAGTACATTAGTGTTACATGGCTCTTAATAACAAGTTGTGCATTATTGTACATAGGTGCATTAGCATAGCAATTAATCATCCTCTCCTGACTCCTTTATAACATTCATCACAGTTATTCTATCCAGGGAACAGTATTCCCTCTAGGTAATGTTCTTCTGTTTTACATATCATATATCTTCAGAAAAAAATCCAGGGCATGATTATGTACTAGAAAAAGAAGCACATAAATCCTAGGTTGTCGGAGAAACCTGTTTCCAAAACAAAAAGGTAATTTTGCCCTTTCTCAGACAATATCCAATTAAAGTAATGACCGTAGCAACTACAAGAGGATACCTGCTTCGGTGTATCAGCAACAGGGTGGACAGAATCCTGAGTTACTTAAGGGGAGAAAGTGCTTTGGGTTCACCATTCTTCAATACAACGTAGCTCCCTCAGAATCCCTCCCTCTCTATTTAATTAAAATGTAGGAGATATTTCCATGTGATTTGATAGTGATTTTGAGAGACTCATAACATTAGTACTTGGCCCAGCAATAAGAAAGTGCAAGTTAAATTTAGCAAATCATAATTTTTCAATTATTCAAAACAATCCACAGAGAAATGAGAGAAGTAAAACATGTATTCTATCAATGATTCCATTATCCTCTCCCTATAAAGAGAAGTGGCTCAATGAAGGATAAAAGCAAATATTAGATTGATTCTTTTCTTGATCTTAGCCAAAAGACTGCTATATCTAGTGCCAAGAAAATGAATTTAGGTTCATAGAAATCCGAGAAATTAGATAGAAAAGACTTAAAAGGACATGTAGCCCATCTCCAGGGGACTTATACTTCTTCCTGCCAACAAGAACTTCAAGAAGAAATATGAATTTATTTAACCCAGTAGTTCAAGACAGTCTCTTACCATGTATTAAACTGTAGAAGTAAGTAAATGTGCATATAACACTGCAGCATGCTATCAATATGAACTAAGAAAGATTAGGATTTTCTCCAAGTACTTTTTAGTTCAAGAATCTAAACCATGAGATGATGCATATGATAAAACAATATGGATAATTTAGAGGGTAACTATTTCAGACCATCTACCTCCTATGTCACCAATTGCTAAAATAAAACCAAAATCTATCTAAGTCTAATTGACTTCTCAGAGTCAGCATTCAGGCAAAACTAATATACTAAGAATTCCCAAATTCAAGGCTGACACAAAAAGAATGGCACTGACCACTGAGTGACTCTAAGCCCCTCAGGACAGGAGTCGTCTTTCTAAGTCTTACAGAGCCATGAGTAGTCTGGCAACAATGAACAAGCAAATAATTTAACAGAAGTTTAATTCAGGCCTTTGGGTTTATTATGAAGCATGTAGGAAAGTATCATTTCACCATTTAAATTCTTCAGGGGGACAAGCTGTTTAGTGCATATCATATCAATTAATGTAGTAAGGAAAATCACCAGAAGGAATGTCCCAATTTAAACAACATATATTCCAATGGTAATCAGAGATACCAGTTAGGTAGAATGTTAAATATTCATATTATTTATGTGATAGATATAAATTATATATAATTTAAAATATGTACAATATATATTGTTTCTATATAATATATATACACACACACACATATATATACATTCTTTGTTCAAGTGCTTTCAAATCACTTTTTGATCTCAGATTTCCATTTCCTGTATGTCTTTTCTAAATATATAAACTAGCATTAATTTTGACAAGTTTGCGAGAACTGGAATATTACAATCCATGCAAAAGACCAGACATTCGTCTTTTGGGCAAACTATATTCAAATTTCATTTAGGTAGTCAAAACTGGCTTTGCAATGTGAGCTATTGTTTCAGTCTGTTGGCAGACCAATGAAAATAGAGTTGTACTACCGTGTAAAGCAAAAACCCAAAACTATTATTACATCTTAATAACACACAAAGACTGGGGAAAAAAATATAAATTCACTGATTCCGTTGTCCCTGCCCTTTTGCCCCCAAATGGGAACATCATTTCTGTCAGAGATTTCATATTTTACTTCTTTCATGTCTTTGTTGTGTAGCTCTATTGATTTTTTGC